AAAAAAAAAAGAAAGGGAATGGCTGGTCTCTACCTGTCCCAGGCTAACACTGCACCTTGTAACCCACATGCCCCATCTCCGACTCTAGCTGGGTGGGGAGCATAGCTGACTTGGGAGCCAGACACCCTGGCTCTCAGCCCAGAAGCTGATGTTGCCAATGGGCATAAGAGGGGTTGGAGCAGGAGGCTGCGGACCAAGGTCTCCTGGGTCCCTGACCCCGCCCATCTTCCCTCCTGAGCTGAGCTGGAAGGTAAAGGAGGAGGCTGGTGGAGGTGAATCCCGCACCCTGTAGGTGAGGGGCCCTGTCCTGAGGACAGTAGATGTGGGGAGCGGGGTTGCGGGGCTGGGGCCTGGGAGAGGTTGCAGAGGGCTACATGCTTTGACCCTGGCACTACCCTCTGACCAGGTGTCCTGCCTCCAAACTCTCCTCGGCTGGAGGCAGAAGAACTGCTGGGGGTGGGGTGGGGTGAAGTGGATAGAATTGGCCCTCAACCCCCTAATAAGAGGGGCCTGTGTGTAAAGCAGGGGAGAATCCAGAGAGGCTGGGGTTGGGGTCTGGCTCTTACAAGCTGGGAGGGATCCTAAAGGGACAAAACGCTCAGCATAAGGGTGGAGGAAGTAGCTGCCTCCCCCTCCCCCATGGCTGGTCCCTCTTCTTCTCCTGACCCCACTCCTGGATGTGAGGAGAGGGGGTGAAGGGAGAGATTGAGAGCAGCAGCTGAGCAGCACACAGCTGGGGTGCAGACCCCTCCTCTCCAGGCTGGCTGCCCACCTCCTGATTGGCACTAGAACCACAGAAGGTGAAAGCGCTCTCAGAGGGCTAGACCTCAGCTACCTGGTCAGGCCATCTGAGAGCCCCTGTTCTGGGCCTGGCCTGCGGGTGTGGGAGGAAGAGTGGGGCCAGAGTCGAGGGCCACCCACCGTTCCTCCTCCATCTGTCCTCTAGAGTGCTCCAGCCCTGGGCCCCCATCCACCTGTACTGCAAGCCATGCCTCCCAGGGTCCCCTGGCCCCCGCCTGCCACTCCTGCTCCTGCCCTAGCTGGAGGCACGGCCTGCTGCCCAGGGAAGTACCCGCAGCTCTACCTAGCCTGCTGGCCGTGGAGAACGCACTGAGCCACTTCCTGTGCCCATGCCAGGGCCCAGGGCAGGCTGCCTGTGTGCTGGTGTTGTTTCGGGGGCCTGGGGAACCAGCTGGCCACCCACTGGTGGTACATGTCCTCTCCCAGGGTGGCTACACCTTTGTGCAGAGGCTGCTGCTCATGAGCCAGGACCTGGGGTAGCGTGGCCAGGCACCTGTGCCACACAAATCATGCTGGACTCCAGGTGGACACATTCTGCTGGGCATGTGGTCTGTGACCTGCATCTGTCCCAAACGTGGCTCTGGATTGCCTCTGAATGTCCACCTCACGTGGCCTTCCTACCCGGAGCATCTGTCCCTTTGTCTCGCCTGGGCCTCCCCTACTGCGACTGAACTTACAACCCAGAGTGAGCGTGTTGTCTGAGTCCAGTCTGGTACGCGTTTATCTCCAGCCTCTATTCCCCAGGGAAAGAGGAGGGCAAATCGGCCATGACAAGACTCATCTACTGACCATACGTTCTCTCACATAATCCCCACAGTGAGGCCGTGAGGTAGGTGCCGTGTCATCTGAAATTCTTAGGGCACATGCTTTGGAAAGAGTCTCAGAAATCATGCAATTGGATGCATGGATTTCCTCTAAACCAGTGATTCTCAAACTTTGGTAGGTATCAGATCACCTGGGGCTGAGTGATGGTTCAGAGACCCAGACACTTTCCTACTTCAGTGAGCCTGGGCTTCTAGGTTCATTTTTAGCTCTCCAGCTGATTCTGATACACACTAAAATTTGAGGACCACTGTGCTCAAACTTCTCTTGAAGGGCCTAACTAACGCTAACAGAGCTCAAGTAACAGGAAGGTCACTGTTACACGGTAGCCCATTCTATTTGTCAGCTCTCGTTGACCAATTAGGTCTAGTGCAAAAGGAAAATTCTCCCTTTGAACCACTCATGCCCTTGATATAGAGTGACTTGGCATTTCTCTAAAAACCCTTCGATCTTTTCCATCTTGCTGCTAGTCAAGCTGCTGCCCGAATGGTTTTTGTGAAACAGTGTGCAAGACAAACCATGACACATGGCCTCATTTTGGTCCATCCCCTCTCATCTTTCACCATCCCCTGGTCCCAGGCATCCTTCTACCCCCAAGCTGGGTCACCTCAGACCCTTCGGTGCTTACAAGGCCACAGACTCCAGGGCACAGGCCTCCGGGGACTCTCAATGACCAGGTCACTTTGCAGCAACTCCTGGAGCAGTGGCTGAACCCACCCAACAGTCCTGCCCTTCAGCCCTCCCCCTCTCGTCCCTGAAGATGCCACAAAGCTGGAAAATGCCACAGTGAAAGGTTGGCCCCAGACCAAGTGGCTCTTTCAAGAAGGGCCTGGGAGAGGGCAGGGACTGGCATGGCATCCAACAGTGGTCTGTGGCAGCCCCTCCCTGGCAGTCATGGGACTGTTTCCAGCTCTTCACTACCCATGAACTAGGGCCTTCCGCAGCCTCTGCTCATTCCTGTCACCAGAGCATTCCCAGGTCATCTTCCTTGTTTCCACCTGAGTGGTGTCTGTGCCTCGGTGGGACAGCCGTGTGCCCACTGCCCAACTACAACAACAGAGGCAGAGGAAGGCAACGTAAATGTCCCAGGACCCCCACCTCCAAGGATATTCAGCAGCCGCCCATGTGTCAGTGCTGTCCCTACCAGGAGGGGTCTGAGGCTGGGAGGTGAGTCTTGAGCCACATACCTACAGTGGGAGCTACGTCACCACCCCACCCTACCCCCACCATGCTACCTGGTACTCACTGGTGTCTCAGCTAATGAGACTGCAGGCCCTGGGCCCGGTGCTCAGGGCCACAGTCATGCTCTACTTCCACCTGTGCCCAGGCTGCACAGTTCATTCGGAATTACAAGACTGCGGTGAGTGCTTTCTGGCAGCTGCCTGTGAGGCCCCCAATGCTGGTCTTCTATAGCCACCATGACCCCTTCTGTGATACGGCCCACCTGCATGAGCTCCTGGCCAGCTGGCAGCAGGAGCCCATGCTGGTGTAGGCACAGGCCTGGGAGACCTCCCACTATGTGGCCCACCTGCACCAGCATCCCCTTGAGTACTGCAATGCCCTCATCACATTCCTGGGGAGGCTGGGCCTGGTACCTGCACCCCCCGGCCCAGCTCTGGTGGGGCTCTGGACTCTAGCTCACCACCAGATTGGGGGCCAGCTGTCCAGGGGACAAGGGACAGAGACAGGATGGCAGAGGCATTGAGACCTCTGGATTTATTCAGATTATTTAATACACAATGACGCAACTGTGACCCCAAGTGTGCAAAGTTAAAGCCTTCAACTGCAGCTGAGAGGAGAGGGCAGGAATGGTACACCTGGGGATGGTGGTGAGTCAGGAATGATGGGCAGCCTCCTCCCCAGGGCCAGAGATAGGGGAGCGGCCTGAGGAACAGAGCCCAAATAGCCTAGCGCCAGGGGAAGGGGGCAGAGACCTCCCTCTGGCCTAGGTCAGGAGCCCAGAAGTGCCACATGGTTGAGGGGGCAGCAGCCTGGGAAGGGGCCAGCGGCAGGGCCAGGAGAGCACCATATCCAGGGTGGGGGTTGGGGAGAGAGGTGCCCTACAGGAGAAGCCAGGAGGGGCCACCTGTCCCAGGAGTAGGAGCTGGGCCGGAGCAGGCTGCAGCGAGAAAGACCTGAGGCAGGCGCAGGGCCTGAGAGCCCAGGCTGGCTGGGCTCAGGGGGACTGAAGAAGGGGGGACCCAGGGGGCTCCCAGGGCAGCCTGGCCCCAGGAGCAGTCCTGAGTCTGTGGGGGATGCCCAGGAAGGGGCCCCAGACCCTCAGGGCCTCCCCTCTTCTCTCCCTGGAAAAGAGCTAGGGAACCCATAGTGCAAATCTGTGGACCGCTCAGTTATGGAGGGAGACTGTGCCCAAAGCGGGGTCCTGGGGGGCATCCCCTCCGCTGCCTCGGCCACCACCGTCTTCAGTACAGCCGCTTCTCGTAACTGTGGGGACAAGGCAGGAGGGGAACGAGAGTGAGTGTGTCGACCCTGCTCCCTTCCCAGATCCCCTTGCCTAGGCCCTGGGCTGCCAGGTGGCCCCCAGATGTGGAAAAGGCAGTGAGCTGCAGAAGCCCCTACCTCTCAGCCATGGGGGCAGGAGAGGGGAAAGAGCAGACTCTGTGCCTCTGTCCTTCCCAGGCCAAGGCTCCTGGGAGAACCAGGCCAGGTCCAGGGATAGCCATGCTCCTTCTGGCCACAGCCACAGCTGGTGGACTGTCCTCAGTGCCGGGGTGGAGAGACAGCTCAGGAAGGCACGGCCCATCCTCACGAGCAAGCTCAGACCAAGCTGAACCTCTACTGCCCATGTCTCCACCCCACCCCTGCACGCACAGTAGCCTAGGCCCCTTGTAGTCAGTCACTGGGTCCAGTCCAAGAGAGGGCAGCCTCAGGCCTGTGGTCAGGGACATCTTTCTGCACCCCAGAAGGGGACCTGTGATTCTGCTGGAGGAGGGGCTACTGCTGGCTGCCCCCACCACGGTGCTGGTCCTAGGGTCCATGTCCCATGTTTACACCCCAGCACCACCCCCAACCCAATGCCCCCTGCCCCCAGCCCAGGTCCCACCCAGACTGCCCCTGCTCTACTCTATGCTTGGCCCGGGCAGCGCGGTTACTTACACGGTAGAAAGGTATAGCTACGGGAGGATGGGGCAGAAAGAGACACAGGTTAGATGCCCGCCTATGCCTGGGGGGACAGGCCCTCTCGACCAGGGCGGGGCCGCATGCCTGCAACTACTGCTGCCAACTAGCACTGCTCCCGCCCACGGTCGCCCCAGCACCGGCCCTGGCATCTGTCTCTCTGCCCTTCTCCCCACCGGAGGGTTTGTGCCCCTAGCCTCTGCCTGCCTGCCTAGTGCCGCCACCAGCAAGAGCCCAGCACTGCCAGCCCCTGCCACCAGCCACCAAGCTTCTGAGCAAGCAAGGGCCGGGAGCCCAGGAGGGGCTAGCGGCCACATCTCCCGTGCCCTGCTCGGGGGAGATGCCCGAGGGGAGGGGAGGGCCTGCCTGCGGGGGCTAAAGGACAGGGTTCAAGGGTGGGCAGCGCCCTGCAGTGGAGAGTGATGGGGTCATCCTGCAGCAGCAACCATCCCTGGTGTAGATGGTCCATGGGGTCCCTGAAACCTCAGCTCGGCCTCTGAACCACGGCCCCACCTACCCGACCCAGTGCCAGCCAGCTGGGGCAAGGAGGCCACCACACTTACGAGTGCAGGCCGTGAACACCACCCTCGATCTGAGCCGACATGGTCCGCTTCTCAAACTTGAGCTCTCCTGAGTACATCATGGACCTGCAGGCAGGTGGGAGTAGCAGGTCAGGGGTACCAAGGACAGAGAAGAGAAGAGATAGAGAGAAAGAGAAAGGAAGCAAGGGGCAGCCAGGAGCCTCCCAGTGGACCCCCCGCCCAGTGCTCTAGTCACAGCACTCACCGCAGGACAGAGAGGCTACGGGCACCGATATCCTGGCAGCCGTGCTGGATTCCCGCGATGAGGTAGGGCACGAACTTCTGAATGGAGCCTTTGTCCTGGATGGAGCCCGAGACGCCCTGTGCGATCTTCACCTTATCCCCCTCACTGTGTGGAGGGCGGGGAGACTGAGCCAACCAGCCCACGGCTCAGGGGACCCCACCCCAGCTCTCAAGGGCACTGGCAGAGGGGAGACCACCCAGAAGGACCCCAAAGCAGCCACTCCTTGGACCACAGCATAAAAAGCATGGATTCCAAGTCAGGTGGCCCAGGTTCCGTCCCAGGTCTGCTTCTTGTGCCCTGGGCCTCAGTTTCCAAAACAATAATATGGAGATTGGGCACGATCTTGGGAAGTCAATGGCATGTGTGGTCCGTGAGGGTTGTGGGCTGATCTGCCTGGGGCCGGGGTTCAGGGCAGGGCACCTGAAGTATCGTTTCTGGCTGCTGCTGCTCTTCTCCATGGCATCCAATGAGCCCATGCCCCGGTACTTCTTGAGCCGCACCCCATCCGAGAAGAAGTACTCGCCAGGGGCCTCCGTGGTGGCAGCCAGCAGGGAGCCCATCATCACTGCAGTGGTCAAGGGGTCAGTGCCTCTAGCTCCACAGCCCTCCTACTGCCCCCGTCCGGCTCCCAGCCCCCCACCAGCCTGCCAATCCCCAGCAGACTCCTCACCTGTGGAGGCTCCAAGGGCCAGGGCCTTGACCACGTGCCCCACGGTCTGGATGCCACCATCAGCTATGACCGGCACCCCAAAGCGCCGGGCGTACTCAGCCACCTTGTACACGGCAGTGCCCTGGGGCCGACCACAGGCCATCACTGTGAGAGGGTACACAAGACAGAGGTATCAACAGCAACACAGGGGCCAGGTACAGGCCCCTTTCTCTTCGTGCCCGACCTCCACTTGGGAAAAGGGACAGGGCTGGATGAGGTTTCTGAGGCAGAAGATAGGTGGCAGCAAATAACACTGGGGCGAATGTCATTCGAGGGACCTGGACCACCCTACCCATAACAGCACTCTGGGGGCTTCTGGGGGTGAGGGGGAAGTACTGGCCCCCAGACTGTGCACTCGGCCTGGGGGTCCCCAGCCTCACCTTGCTCCATGCACTAGCTCCCCTGCGAGGCTTGCATTTGAAAGCCTGTTACCAGGGTTAGGCACTCACGGCCTCCTTTGGGCTACTGGCGTGCATTTCTTTAAGTTTAATTCTCCAAGGTCCTTAAGTGTTAGGTTGGAGTGGGCATTCTAAGGAAGCAGCACTTATCTGGGGACAGATGCGAGGCTGGAGAAAGTGGAGAAGAAGGCTTCTCCCGAGGGACCTTTCATGTGTTTTGTCCCTTCTGCGCCCCAAGGTTTAGAACAGTGCCTGACACACAGTAGGTGCTCAATTAATATTTGTTAAGTGACTGAGCAAAGGCCCACGTTTCACCGAGGTGGTCAGCTAAGGTGAAGGGTAGATACTTAAAAGCAGAGGCTCTGGAGACCAAAACAGGGAGACGTTTTGGGCAGAGAAGACCAAACAGGTCACTCAGTGTTCCAGAGAAATGACCCTCACTAGAGGGGCTAGGTACATCACCTCAGGCCAAGGCAGCCCCCACAAGTCAGCCACCAGCCTCCAGGGAGCAGCCCTCAACCACATGGGGACACATGTCAGGGTCTCACCCCCCCCTTTCGTGTCCAGGAACCCACCCCGCAAAAGGGCTTCGTGACTGTGTGGAACCCCTCTCCCCCACTGTCACCACGTGGTGGCATGGGTGTACATCTTTATACATTCAGGGACATGCTGTCTCCATGTCTTAAGTATCTGCCTTGTCACAAAGCTAATCCAAACCCTGAGCTGGCTTCCAACAAGCACCTCAGAGAAGCATTCACACCAGCCTTGGGCCTCCAGATTGGGCCTCCTTGACCAGAATCTGAGAAGCAGGCTGGCACAAAACTCCAGGTAACCTCATCTTACACCTGCTTTCCCCCAAGTCAGTGGGCCAGACAGGCAGAGTCTGAGCCCGGGTCACCCTTGAACCCACCACCCGGGAACGGGCCGGGCAGAGCGAGCACTCAATACGCATCTATGGAACAAGAGTGAGGCCCTGGGGCCTGGGAAGGGCCAGTGGGGTGTTCAACGTGGCAGTCACCCATTCTCCTACTGACACCCACCTTCTTGGGTGATGCAGATGGAGCCGCAGCCCATCCCCACACGCAGCCCGTCCACACCAGCATCAATCAGGTTCTTGGCCTGAGCTGCTGTCACCACTGGGCGGAGGAAGGGTGGGGGGTGGGGAAAGAGGAACGGTGTGAGGATGGCATGCCCCTGCCCCACCCAGGGACTTCCTGGGACCCCAGTCTAGCTCCCCCACCTACAGTGACCAAAGCCCATTCATTCAGCCCCCCACCCCCCATGCAGGAGCGATGCCATCACCTACGGATGCAAAGGACAGAGAAGAAGTTACACACTGAGGGGGCAAGGACTGCGGGCGAGAGGGGACCCCGCACTCACCATTCCCCCCAATCACCTGGAGGTGGGGGTACTTCTGCTTGACGTAGTGCACCATGGCGATCTGATACACAGAGTTCCCTTGGGATGAGTCCTGTGAGAAGGGGGACAGGAAAGTTTAGGCTTAGAGGCTGCGTCTTCACTGGGTCTTGAGTGGACAAACTCCTGAAATCACATTAAAAATGTTATAAGAATGCACCTTTGTCTGTTTGTTTGTTTGTTTCTGAGAAAATACTTGACAGCTCTCAGCTGATTCTCAAAGGGACCTGCTTTCCCCAGAACGTTAAGCACCAGAAATGTATAGTCTCAGAGCAGACAAAGCCCCTTCATACCCACTGTAGGGACTGGTCCTCACAGCAAGGAGATGTTGCCTGGGGTCGTATCCTGTTCTCAGCAACTCATTAGCCAAATAAAATTACTTAACCTTGTGAGCCTCGGTTTCTTCATCTGACAAACAGGCGTGGTAACTGCACTTCAGGGGGCTGTCGGAAGGATTAATTGAGATCGTCTACATAAAGGTCTTCGTGCAGGGCCTGGCAAATGGGAGGTTCACAACGAATGGGAGCTGTAACTATCGGAGTCAACTTACGAGCAGGGAGCGCCCTCGGAGGGCCCACAGTTTGTTCTGAGCTGTCACAGTACCAGTGACCCTCCTAATTCTGACTCCCAGGAGCGCTCAGAGTGGGGAGGAGAGCAGCAAGGAGGGTCACAGGCTCAATTAGAGGTGAACTTGGGTCTCCTAAGCCTGTACTCTACTGAACCACCCCCGCTCCAGGGTGGCACCCGTACCAGCACTATGACATCGGCGCCCGCCTGGGTGAGCAGGTCCAGGCGGTACTTGTCATCCTCGCGGGTGCCCACAGCCGCCCCACACAGCAGCTGCTTGTGGGAATCCTTGGAGGCCAGAGGGTAGTCCCGGTTCTTCTTCAGGTCGGTGCGGGCAATGATGGCCACTAGCTCATCACGATCATTGACAATGGGCAGCTTTCCTGATGAGGAATGCAGAGGTGAGATGAAGGAGCAGGCTTCTGGGGGTCGGGGTGGGGGTGGGGGAAGGGAGGATGAAAATGGACCACTCAAGATTCCACTGAAGTACCTAAACCAGCCACTAGGTGACAGCACCCACCCAGGAAGTACTCCTAGATACCTGGATCTCTTCCCAAGGAACAGGAAGCAAAGAAACTTCACAGCCAAGTGGGTTCCTGGAGCTCTTCCTCCCCTGTGGCCTGGCCACAGGAGGGTAGGCAGCCCCTGAGCACTGGCAGCCTTTCACCTGCTGGGCCACGGGCCACAGTGGTCAAAAACTCCTAGGCAGGGCACAAATCTGAGGCTGTCCTGCAGGGAGGAACATGTGCCCTGCCCAACACCACCCCCAGAGAACAATCCAGTATGGGTCAGGGAATCCCACAGGGACCCAATGAATATTATGTCAACAGCCCCAATATCAGAAATATTTAACTGCAGGGCTTCTCAGAGCCTTTAATAAGTTAATGTACAATTCTTTATACAAGATGGGGGATATAGAAAGCAGAATTTTCTAACTTATGAGACCACAAAGCCCTTTCTTCATGATGAGCATTTCACAGGACAGTTTTTTTTGGAAACATACTGTGAAGATGCTGAATGAAGGACAAATTTTCCTAAGCCAGGAAAAGGACCTCAAGAATCATGCTCTAGCATGGGGTTATTCAAACCTTCCCCAAGGCCCAGTCTGGGAGCTGGGACAATTTGCAAGGCTGTGAAGGAACAGGGTCTGGGGAACAGTAGCCAGGCTGGGGGGTGTTGAGTTTTCTGCCTACTCTCTGGTACCTTTCTTGCTGCGTTGCAGGATCTCATTTGCCTCTTTCAATGTTACACCGGCTGGAGCCACCACCAGCTCATTCCGCGGTGTCATCACCTGTGGGGCCAGGAACATTTCCCTGCAGGTTGGCAGGTGAGAGAGAAGGGAGCCAGGCCTCCCTCTGGTCCCTGGTCACAGGCACCAGCCTGAGGCCCCAGGGTGTGGGGTCCTCTCTCCGCCCCAGCCATGCTTTCCCTGCCCTGCAGATACCTCACTGAGGAGGGTGGTGTGGTCCTTCTCGGCAAGGAAGTCGATGTCTCGGGAGGTGACGATGCCCACCAGCTTGCTGCCCATGGTGCCCGTCTCAGTGATGGGGATGCCGGAGAAGCCATGCCGAACCTTGGCCTCCAGCACGTCGCCCACGGTGTGCGAGGGGCTCAGCACCACGGGGTCTGTGATGAAGCCCTGTTCAAATTTCTGTGGGCAGAGAAAGAGGAAGGAAAAGGCTGGAGGAAAGCTACAGGTGGTGTACAGCCTGGCCACAGGGGGCAGAGAGTGTCCTGGCCATGCCCCAGATGAGCCAGGGCCCTCAATGGGGTAAGAGGCCAGTGGGAAAATGAGAGCTGGGCCCCCATTGTGGAGAAGGGCAGACAAGACACCACAGCAAGCATCCAGGGAATACAGCAGCCTGCAGCGCTGGCACCGGAGGGTGAGAGGGTCTGTGGGGTGGGGGCCGACAGGTGGCATCTTCTTTCTGGGGACGGGCCTGGTACTTGCCTTGACTTTCCGCACCTCGTTGGCCTGGAACTCTGGGGTGCAGTTGTGGTGAATGAAACCAATACCGCCCATCAACTGGGGTGGAAGGGAAGCATTGTCAGAGCCAGGGAGCCAACCCTACTCACTCTGCAAACTCCACCCTGATTCCAATTCCTCCTGGCGCCCAGCACACCACATTCGGTCCCCTTGGCCCTGGGGTCCCCACCCAGGTATCTGACTCACAGCCATTGCAATGGCCATGTCAGCCTCTGTCACAGTGTCCATGGGGGAGGAGATCAGTGGCGTCTTCAGCGTGATCTTCCGAGTCAAGGCTGAAGTCAGGTCCTGAGGATGGAGGCACAGTCTATGTGAAGAGTTTTATCATTCACTCAACAAACATTTACTGCTCCTACATGTACCCAGCACCAGGACAGGCCCTGGGGACACAGCAGTGCACAAGGCAGACGAGTCCCTGCTATCTCTCCCAGAGCTGACATTCTACTCGGGCAGAAAAATGACAAACACAAAACACATGTACAGGATGATTTCAGTCAGGACAAAGGCTCCAGAGAAGAAAATAGGACAAGTGACTCCTGGAAGGTGGATGTGGTGGTCAGGGAAAGCCTCCTTCTCGGGAGGTGACAAGTGGAAGACAATCAAGGAAAAGTCTGAGGGACTGTCATTCCAGGCTGAGGGAGCTGTGCATGAAGATGCCGAATTCCTCCTGAGGTGTATTTGAGAAAGACAAAGAAGTCCAGTGGAGTAGAAGGAAGGCAGGGAGGCAGCGGCTGAGGGGCAAGAGGCAGGTGGGGGGCCAGGACGTGTAGCCTTGAAAGCCATGGAGGAGAGCTTAGATTGGATCCTGAGATAAGAAGCCACTGGAGGGTCTCAGGCAGAGGAGAGACATGATCTGATTTATGTTTTAAAGAGGTCACTGAGGTTCGATGGGGAGAAGAGGCAGGGAGACCACCAAGGAGGCTGCAGACAGGGCCAGGCAGGAGATGTTGGTGACTAGGATGGAGAAGGTACGGGAAGGAGCCTATCAGACATCCAGGAGAGTAGGTGACAAAGGATCTGCAGCTCACAGGAGAGATCAGGACTGCAAATATACATTTGGGAGCCATCTGCCTATGAACAGTAGGTAAGGCCACATCATAGAGCCCTCGGAGACTGAGGCCAACATCTGTGGATCCCAGTTGCCAAAACACTCAGATATAGACTGTGGTATACAATTTTTGGAGATTCAAGGCCCCTGAAGTCCATCCACAGAACCTGGTTCAGAACCCTGGCCCTGTAGTCTAGAGAACTCCCCCTTCTGCTCTCTCATCATACCACAGGAGAAGAGCCACAGCCTTTCCGACAGAGGCCACAGGACCAGACCCTTGTCGGCTGCAGGGGTCTCTTCTATCCCCCTCTTCCTAGTACCCTGCCCAGGCTCCAGCACAAAGCTAGGGTGCTTGGTAAACCGTAAACTCAACAGAGGATGGTTGCTGTCATCAGGGAAATATCCAAAATAGCCCAGATTTCCTCCGAAAAACCCGTCTGGGTCAACACTGGCTACACAGGCAAGATGTGAGCTTCCCCAACATATAAGTGATCCAGGCACACTCAGGCCCTCTAGCCTTTCATGAGAATCAGACCACAATAAATAACAGCAACAGAAAAGAAACTGTTTTTTAATGTGTATGAATTCTTCACAGAATAATCTAACTTTTCCACGAAATGGCTAACACCCATTAGCACTACCCTCTTGGCTTCTACGAGTTTATCATATGTTAACTGTGTAAGGACATTGTTAATTCACTTGGCTCATTGCCGAGCCCCTCGGTAAGCAAGGCACTGTATTTCCTTGTATTTGTCTAAAATCTGACTCCTGCAAATCCTCTTTTTGGTTCTTGTACATTGTGGATCCATGAACAAGTCTGTCCACCTCATTCAAAGTCTCCACAATTTTACTGGCTTCTATCGTGTCCTTGCTCAGCATTTTAGACAACATCCAATCCTTCTGGTCTATGGTATAAGGCAGCCACACCCATGCCCACCCCCCAGCCTCCCCCAGGCCTTTATGAGCCTCACTGCAGGCTCTGTCAGGGACAGAGAGCCCTCTGGCCCTGTGCCAGGCCCACTACTCAGGAAACCCCTCAGTGCCCACTCCTGCCTCTGCCCCATTAGGCATAACCCACTGCACTGTGCCAGTTTCTCTGGCAGCAACAAAGGCCACATCTACCACATTCCCAAAAAAAGTCTCCCCCACACCCTGCCCTTGAACAAGAAGTCAGCCTCTTCTCCACATACATAGCCCCTCTCCCCCTGGTCAACGGAAGAGGTACTCACCACCTCATCAGCTATGAAGTCTATGAATCCTGGGAGAATCAGGAAGTCGCTGTGAAGAGAGAAAAGCGAGTGTTACTAGGTGGGGAGGGGTACCCAAAAGGGGCAGCGCCTGCCATGCTGGGGAGGCAGCATGGGGTGGGGAGAGGGGCAGGGACTGGAGCACTCTGATCCCTGCTGCCCCATCAGGCCTGAACTACCCTTGTGCCCCCCACTAGCATCCTGCCAACTCCAGCCCAGAGACCCAGAGCCACGGGCAGGGGGAGGCCTGTGGACCTGGGGCGCCACCAAGGCAGTTGGCCCAAAATGTCCATTGCCTTTAGGGCTCAGAGTTTGTCAAGGGACACAGAAGTTCCTGTAATGCCACACAGCAGATGCAGTGCCTGCCCCTGAAAACTTCTCAATCTTGAGAGGGAGACAATAAGTAAACACGGAATGAACCTGAGAACAATTTAGTAGTGCAGCATAGCATGAACACCACATAGCACAGGACAAGCTGCACAGCCCAGTGCTGGGGCTGCTGAGTCACACAGGGTTCAGAACAGCACAGAGGGACCCCAGGGGGCTGAGCGTGGGGCATGTTCTGACAGAGCAGGCATTGGTAAATGTTTGCCCAGTTGGACTGGATCAACCAACAGACATGACCTGGGATGGGAAAAGGGAGGAAGGGCCCTCATAGTTAGGACCAGGATACTGGGGCCCCATCCAAAGCATGGCAGCTGCCAACACTAGGGTGGATCATGGTCACAGCAAACCCCAGAAGGCCTGCATAGGTGTGGCAAGACGCAGAGCCACAGCCCCGGGGCCCTGACGAGCTTAATCCGCCTGATATCACAGGGCCTTGACAGACACACCCAAATGCAAACGTCCCACACTTCAGGAACACTCCCAACTGGACTAAGCAAAGCAGAGGCACCCCAGCACGGGAAGGAAAAACTACAGGGTGGATGGGAGGGATAGGGTCTCTAACCTGCTCCAGGGCCTAGAGCAACTCATAGGAATTTCCCTAGGGAGTTTCCCTGGGCAACTCCAGTGAAAAATATATCAAAGAGATACTCTCGCCCCCCTCATCAAAGACCACCAAAGAAATAAAGAATCTTAACTGCCCTGCCCCTGCCCCTTGGCAGCCTTTCTTCTGTACAGTGAAGAGGGCTTTGTGGCTCACTAAGAGGCCAGAGAAGAAATGTTGGAGTCTGGGCCACTTGGCATTTTCCAGGTATTACATACACCCCTCACCTGGCCCACACCCCAGCTACGGAGAGGCAAGAGGAGATACTCCTCAGGAGTGACTGGGTATCCTGTGTCTAGGGAAACCACCTGCCAAGCAGGAGTGCTTACAGGCAAGGGCAGGGACTGGCAGGAAACAGGGCAGGGATGCTCTTGGCTCGCCAGCATCCCCACTCCGCCCCAGTCCCAGGTTCTGATGCTCCTTCCTGGCAGGGACACAGTCCTGCAGCCAAGAGAGCTAGTGCCAGGCCTGCAGCCAGCAGGACAACTGGCCCAGGGCCCACAGAAAAGCAAACTAAGCCAGAGGCAAATGGATAGGTCTTGTCCTTCTCTCAAATCCCAGGTGGGGTGGGCTCGGGGGTGGTAGCCACAGAATACCCAGAATAGGGGCACTAGTGCTAACCTGTGGGCAGGCAGGGGCACAAGTGGAAAGAGGGTTGGACTGGACGATGGGAAAAGGAGCCATCCCAACTGCCCAACTGGCCCTCTCCCGGGGGTAACATCCAAACAGCTGCCTTAGCTTGGCTCCAGGGCCCCCTCTGCCCTCGTGGTGACGCTGGGAGTGAGAGGGTGTTCTGGACCAAGGTCTGAGAAAAGTCTCCATAACTCCCACATCTGGCGTTCCCACACGCCCCAAGGCCCCTCCATGCGGCCAAGATGCCCATAAGAGGGGGAAGGGGGGCAGGCCAGACCCGGATCTGGCCAGAAACAGAGCATGGCACCGAGGGCCGCGATGTCGCTATGCCACGTCCGTCTACTGGCGGCGCGGGCCGCCTTCCTTCCTTCCCTTGCCCAGCTCTCCCCACCCCCCCCGCCCAAGTCGGTCGAATAGGGGCAGGGAACACCGGCGTCACCGAGCGAGGCGCGCTGCACGTGCAGGGCCGGGGCCGGGGGATCGCGGCGCGTTGTTGTGCGCACCCAGGTGGGGCTGAGGCCCCCTGCGCTTACTTGTAGGTGAGGCCGTCGGCGTTGGCGAAGAGCTGCTGCGCGGTGAGCCCATCCTCGGGCACGTAGCCGGTGCCGCCGCTGATCAGGTAGTCCGCCATGCTGCTGGGAGACACCGCGACGCGACATAAACACCCGCGCGGGCCGCCCCGCTGCTTCTGCTTCTGCCGCTGCCGCTGCTACTGCTG